GCCGTTCATGTCTCATTGCACCAGCTGGTTAAATCAGCTGGAAAGGACCACAGAAGGCCAATAATGAGCAAGGGAAGCAGCCAAGCAGCCAGCCATCCCTCCACACACAAAGGATGGAGTCCTAATGGATGGTTTAATGACTTCGACACATGCAGAGGGGCTAGAGACCAGGTGGAGAGACCCTGAATGCAGGAGAGAGCTTGAGAGGGAGGCAAATGGGGTGCTTTCTCCCTCACTCAGAAAGAGACAGATCTGAGGGATGTTCAGCCAGGATAAAGCAACAAAAAGAAGGAAGAAAGCTTTTCCTAATGTAGAGCTGCTTTTGAGAGGCATATTTTCTGCTTTACGGAGAGGTGGCTACAAGTAATGATAATCAAAACCAATTGCCCATGTCATCTTCTCAAATACATGCAAGACTCAACCACTGATGTCAAGACAGCATGTCAGCATAAAATCTACCACAATTGAAAAGACAGACAAGTGCAAATAAGCCCTCATTGAATTATCAGTGATAGGTCAAGACGTAAGGGATGACCTGGTCCCTGAGGTTGGTTTGTCTAACACCACTGAGTGACAGGGGGGTGCTGTAACTTAGCCTTTGATTTGTCTGAGACAGTGGGCATGCAATCCTTCAAGTGCTTCGAGCGCTTTCGTGCAGCCTGATGTCCCCATAGAGCAGGAAAATTCTGTCCATGGCTGGCTGGCCAGTCACTTGCTTAATTAATACTTGAACAATCAGCCGTGCTGCCTTGGTGTATTTATCTGCGAATGATAGATGCTGTCCCTGCAGGGCCATTTTGCTAATGGAAGCTGTCCAACTCACCTGCAGGTCTTTTATTATTGGAGCAAATCAGTGAGATGTCTCTTTGAAAAGAAAAAAGAATCCTTCAAACTCAGCCCTGTTATTGAACTGTGGAGTGCCATCAGCAGTATGTCTGTCATATAGGCCCCATTTCTGAGCACAGAATTCCCAATGCAAGCCTCCAGCAGTACATTTAAATCATCTTGGGAACTTTGGTGTGTGCTAAAAATGCCTTCTATGCTGTTTGCTCCTGTCCCCAGACCCAAACAGTGGGAATAATTATCTTTTTTTGGCACACGCTCTGTGCTGAGATCAAGAGGCTGTAAAGCTGTGTTTCTTCTGTTTGTGTGATCAGAGGAAAGATCAAATGGAACAAATGCCGTCAAACATTTATTTTTCTTCTCCTTTGATGCTGTGCTCTCCTGCTGTGAACACTCCTAACCTGGCAGCATCTGGGAAAACTTTTCCCAACCAACACGTCCTCAGTTTGTGTGAACCCATGAGCCCAATGGGTAGTTATGTTCTGACAAAACCCAAAGCAACAGCGAGAGCTGTGTGGGGATCAGTGCAGATGGCTGTTTTGCTGAGCAAGTGATGAGCTATTCACGGCCTCACCGTAATGGGAAAAAAACATCACCATGCTGAATTGGTGATGCTCAGCTCTGACTTCTTCTAGGTTTAAATGAGGTGGCAGGGCACTGCTGAGTCTGTCCCAGCTGCCTGCCTTGTATTTACAATGGCTCTTACTTACTCTATTACCTAGTGCTCTGAATAAGCTTTCCTAATTAATGCATTCTCAGTAGCAGCACCTTGTTCTCCTTACTGAAAGATTTGTTTCTTCTGTCCCAGTGATGGCAAGAGTTTGTTCTTATTTAGATCTGAAAAGGCTTAACAGTGTGTCCATGTAATTCAAAAGGCAAAATCAACACTGGTAAGGTTACTTGTGAATTTATAGTGACATCTGTGCACGGTGAATACACACCAGCCAGGTTTGTATTTCTGGACTAAAACCAACCCAGTAACAAAATGCAACAGCTATAACAAAGCTGTGTTTTTCACATGTTCCCTACCTAAAAACCCTAGGAGTCTTCTTCCCACGCCTCACTATACCCAAAGCTGAAGAAAGCAGTGTCAGTGGTTTACTGTTCCAAAAGCATAGATATCAACAACTCTTGCAAGCTGGGATAGTTAATTTCATTAAAGGCTGCAGAATAAAGGATAATCATCTCAGCCACTGCTTGGTAATAGTTTGGAACAATTTTCCAGATAGGAGTGTAGGAAAATATTGCTTTAAATGCTTTCCCTGCAGCTTTGAATGACAATGAGTTTGAGAGAGATTCTGAAATGGATGCATAACTTCAATCTCAAGCAGAAACTGGGGCAGAGGGAATGACTCAATTGGTTGTGGTGCAGTAGCAAATCCACATGGGGCTTTGGAAACGTTTGTCCATGCCAATGATAATGCACCAAGCGTGGAGCCGATTATGACAGTCACAGAAATCCTGAGAGCAGCAAGGCAAAATAATCAACGCAACGAGCCAGTGGGAACTTTATCGTGAAGGGACACAAAGGGTGACATTTGGAAAATAAAAGGAAGAGAATCGACTGAAAGGATCTTTGAAATAAAGGCTTCTTCCTGCAGGTTTTATCTCTCCAGCCAGAAAAATCTAAGGCATATGTCTATTCCCTTAAGAACAGAACAACATGTCAAATGGGAGAGATAGAGAGAAGACCTTCCAAAACAATATTTAGTCATCATACAACCACGTGTATGAATGTAACAAAGAGAAAGAAATACATGTATCTTAAAAATAAATATGTAAAAGAAATCTAGCCAAATAGTGTAAGAAGGGAAGGGAAGGGAAGGGAAGGGAAGGGAAGGGAAGGGAAGGGAAGGGAAGGGAAGGGAAGGGAAGGGAAGGGAAGGAACACGTGCAGTGACTTGGACAGAACAGGATAGATAAATACCCAGTGTCGACTGTGATCTCCTTTCGTAAGGTGATCATTTCATATTCCAAGGGAGTGTCTCCCTTCTTCAGCCAGTCACTCCCTGCTCCTGACAGATGATATACTGATGTTTATTTGTCCTGTTTCAGGGCCTCAAGTGAGTATTTTACATCCCCTTTTCTTTTCATGGCTTTTTTCAGTGTGTCAGCCATATATATAAACAGGTCCTCGGGGACCCATTACCAAAAGCAACACTGAGAATAACTCCGTCCTTGCATCTCATTTCACACTTTTAGTAGCAATCACACAAAGCATCTCCTTTGGGGAAAGGGTGACTGTTTCCTGGGAGTGCTGGCAATGCTGGCAATGCTGCCTAAGCCCTCGTTCAGATCAGAAGCCTAACTGTTTCATTGCATCTCTATCAGGAATGGAGGCTGAAACCTTACCCATCCCCAAGCTCATTTGTCACCACCACCCAAGCTGCTTTCCATTAGTTGTCAGGACCTAATATTGAAAGACAAGCAATGAAGAAGACTTATGGGTCCTTCAGATCCAGCAACCTGATCTCAGGGCCTGCTCCAGGGATCACATTTGTACACGGGATGCACACATGCACTGCCGCCTTGTCCTCTGCACTCATGGAAATTCAGACTGGGCTCTGTTCTTCTCCACCTGCTTTGCCTTGGGTTTTTTGGCAACCTGACATGCATGCAGGTTTCTCTCAGCCCTGTCCATTATTCCAAGGGGCTTGGGGGTGCAACTGCAGACCGTGAGTCAGGAGGTACTAAGTGGGGCCTGCAGTCGTCCATTGGTCCTTGTGGGCCTGCCTGAGGTTTGGCAGCTGGTGGCAACTGAAGCCCTCTCTTAAGGGCCATGCCCCATGCACTGCACTTTCTGCTGGTCTACATGTGGATGTCAGGCCAGTGGTGTTTAGCTGTGTGAGCCTCTAGGCCTTACCAGCTCTGGCCAGCCACCCCAGGACCAGACCAGGAGCCCTGTGATGGCCCTGCATCCTTCTGGGTCTGGTGCCAATGAGGGGACACAAGGATGCTCATAAGCACAGAATGATCCTGCCATATTGCTCAAGGCAGAGGACACCCCAGGCTGCTTTTGGTAAGCAGCAGGTGTGTCCCAGATATACCTTTCCTGGCTCAGATGTTGCATGCAAGTGAAATGGAAGTGTTTATGATCAAATCCTTTTCTTTGGGATAGATCTAATGCTTTTTTTTTTTTAAATTATTTTTCACCTTCCATTAACGTATTTCATGTGCTGATTAAGAAGATACATCACCACATGTTCCTTCACTGTTCTACTCAGGCACTATTAGGTCTCACTGTCTTTGGGACTTGAAAGCCATATAAAACCGACTTGGCAAAAGGCAGAACCAGCTATGTGATTTGAGTGGGAGGAATTAAAACTCAGCATCGGCAGGGGGGCACCTTGCCAGCTGGCCTCTAAATCTGTACGTGTAGATCCCTTGTTTGTCCGACCAGATTGCATGTTCTAAAGGTTTCTTTAATTGGTTAAAGAGCTTCATGAATGCACAAGATCTCATGAAATGCAGTTACAAGCAATTCCAGGTTATCTCACTGCTCTTTCCAGCCTCAAATGCAAGACAGTAATCCCACTGATGAAGGGATAGAGCTGTGTGCTCTGCAGCTCACCTCGCTGGGGAGCAGCCTTGGAGATATCTATATGCTTTCTAAGTTCTGTTGTGTAGATTCGTGTTTTGCTACAGAGATAAATTGGAAACCATTCTCCAGACCTCAGTGCTAGGAAGATTTTCTCCTTGCCTATTATTAGCACTCTGCTGTTGCAGCAAGCACTCAATATGCACAGTTTTAAAGGACTTCAAAGTGTCATTGGGAACCAAGTGATATGTATGTTAAAGAGGGTTTAATGGAGCTGCAGTCACCGTAGCACAGCAACTTTTTATAGCAAGTTTCTACAGCGTTAAGAAAAACATCCTGCAGATTTCAGCAGGGCTGGCATATGGATAAGATACTTTGCACTATGATTTTTGTATATCTGCTATTAAAAATAGCAGAAAGAGAGAGCCGCTTTGAACAGTGCTATCTATATGAGGAATGATAAGCAGGAACTGTAAAACTCAAGCAACAGCTATTACCCCTACTCTAAGGTTTTTGTTTGTTTGTTTGTTTGTTTGCCTAGAAAAGGAAAAACATGCATTTGCAAGTGGATTGGAATAAGGAATGAGTATGTACCACAATATGCATTCACAATGAAGCTTTTAATAGTCTTTTTATTTTCCGGAGCCAATAGATTACAGAACCATGAATGATGAGATAAATTCTGCTTCCAAGAGCTGATGCAGACTTTCAAGAACCCACTCCCAAGATAAAATAGGTGGGATTCCCACAGAAGGGAAGCTGTAAGAAGCAGTTTGCAAAATAAACATGTTAAACACTGGAGCTGATGGGGTTATGCTGATCCATAGGAATAGCTGAGGGTTCGATGGGGAATTATTGATTTTAAAGTCAAGAAAACACTGATTTATATTGTCTATATTTCCTTCACAGCACTATTTATGATCCTGCTTTAATTACACACGAGAAGCACACTGGGATTTGGACAACACAGGCTCCTCACAGCATCTCAGCATGTCTGAGTGAAGCCTTTCCACATCCGGGAGACCATGATCATCTGGGACAGGGAGCAGCTGGCTGCAGCTTCCCTGCAGCAACCCAAACAGAGATGGGGAAGCCTTTAGCTGTGGGAGTGGTCAGCGTGTCCCCATCCCTGGCAAGGTCAGGGCTGCACATTGAGGCAGCTGCGCCCACTCCAGATGTGCCACTCACTTGGCTTCCGCTGTTCCCATCCCACCAGCAGCTGCCTGCCCATCCCCTGACTCAGTCTCCACCGCCTGCAGCCTCTTTTTTTTCCCCTATTTTATTTTTATCCCATCCGCCCAAATGGAAACCCTGCTCTAAAGAAACAGAAGGAGATCTTCTTCTTTATTTTCTCTTTTATCTGAGCGGAGGAGGGCTGGGGGGAAGGGTTTTGTCGGGCTTTTTCTTTATGCAACACGAGTTGCTCAGGGGAGTGTCTTGCGTTATTAATGCTGAGTGGCTCCGGCAGCTACTGTGGTTTAAGGTCGTTAGTCACTCGCTGCGGGCGCGCCGTGCAGAGCTGCTCACAGCACCCTCCTGGTCCCACCAGGCCAGTAGGTCGGGAACAGCGGCAACAGGGTCAGTGGGGCACAGGGGGAGCCGGGGGCTGAGATCAGCATCTAACCAGGGTCATGGGGTGAGCACGAATGCTCCTTGGAGCAGTCCTGCACCAGCTCTTACCCACAGAGGAGCAATAAGGATGGAGGATGCTCTCCGTGCATTAAAGAAATGCAGGCCTGCTTGCGCTCTGCTCTTCTGATCGTTGTTTTTCTGTTGCTTTTCTTAGGATGAGGGCCTCTAGGCAGATAATTCCGAACTGGTTCTGCATCCTCTGGCTGCCACTCCTGCTGAGGGCAATCTCCTGCTCCCCGCTGCCCGCTGCAGAGCTCCCACCGCCCGCTGCGCTCCCCTCCGGGCTGTCCCAGGGACAGACCTGCGTCGGTACGTACAGGCTGTCTGTCTGTCCTGCTGGCTGTTCTTTTTGTTACTGCACCGGTGAGCAGGGAACTGCTGCGCACGTCGTAAATCACTCCGTTATCTGCTCCTGTGGCTGTACTGCAAAACATTCAGAGTTGTTGGTGAAATAATCATTCGGGATGTTGCAAGGCCAGCAGCATGTGGCCTGGAACTACTTTATGATTTTGTTTTTGAGTGGCTGCTTCCCAAAGTTCATGTTTTTTGCGCTGCTGAATGATCTGGCTTCGGTGTTCTCAGGGAGCTGGGAAGCAGTTCTCAGCACTGCTGGTGGGAGGATGTGCTGTCCCCCAGCTCATGTAGAGTCTGCTTGGTTATTCCCAGTACTAGGAAATACTATTAAGGATAGCTGGCCGTCTTGGCTATGGAGCAAGGCCTGAGTGGTAACTGCCAAAGGTGCTCACCTGCTGCTAATAAAGTTTTCCAGGGACCTGGCAGTATAGCTGGTCCCTGTGCTGGGCCACGGGATCATATGGGGTAGGTGCCTGCAAAGGGGCACTGAGGTGATCCCATCTCCAGCCATGGCCTTGCTGGTAGCCACTCGACAGGGTGCTTCTCTTCTGGTGAGGGTGTGCAGCTGGATTTCCCACATACTCCCAGGTGGAACTGTGGGGTGCATTTTCAAAGAATCATAGAACTGTCTGAGTTGGAAGGGATCTTTAAAGGTCATTTAGTCCAAATCCCCTGCAATGAACAGGGACATCTACAGCTAGATCAGGCTGCTCAGAGCCTGGTCCAGCCACTACAGTTTTGGCAACTCACTCTATTGCAGGTAGTGTTACAAGCAGTTAGGACATGGTGCATTCTCAGTGCTTTTGCCAAATATATTCCCAAAGCAAAGCTGGTCATACCAGTGTCAGCACAAGTGTGGGTATCTGTGCATCAGAAATGCTGTAGGTGTGATCCACAGTTCCCAGAGGGATGTGCTGCCTTGCATTTGTTATGTGCACAAATGTACAGAGCATATCCACCATTTAGCTTATGATTCAGTATTCTACTTCATCTTCTTTTAGCTTTTGAGCCATGTTAGTGCTGTGAACAGAAATTATATTGTCTTAGATGGTAATATTTCAACCAATACTTCAATCAATATTTCAACCAATACTTCAACCGAAAGTATTTTCTTTGTGTCAATTAGGACAATTAGAAGTAACAACTCTAAGCTTGACTGAAACAGGATTTTGACACACAACCATGTCATTCAAAGTGCAGATTTCAGTGGTGAGGAAGTGAGCCAAGTCACAGTGCAGAGGCTGCTCAAGTCAGCGCTTGGTCACCAGACGGAAAATGAAAGCAATGGCAAAAAGCAGAAATGGCTGTCAGGATAACTGCTGGGGAAGGCAACGAGAGGGAAGTGGTTCTTCATAATGCTTTGAATGAAACAGGGAAGGCAGGGAGCACGCTTTCCTATAGCTGCTTTACAGCTGAATATTGAGGGGTAGCACTGATTCTGGCGGCTGGTTCAGTGCCAGCCCTCCTCAGCACAGAAAATGAAGGTGAGATGCGCTCATCACAAGGAGAATGAGTGCAATTTCCTTTCAGCAGGCCAACCACAGAGCCTTCTAGCCTTGGCTTTCTGTCTGGGAAGACATCAGACAAGAGCCGTGGGAACTTCCCCTGACTTTTTGGCCATGTAGATCTAAGCAGCATTTATAACATTAGACTTACCTGCTGTGAAGCATACAGGAGGTTTTCTTGAAGACATGAACTTTCTCAAGCAGGTTAAAGTTTGGTCATAGGACTAATGTTTTGAAGGCATTTGCCTCAGGTTTTTAAGGGAAATGAGGTGTCTGCATATTAAACAGTCATTTCTGAGCACTGCTATGCATATGTGACCTGCATGCTGGAGATTGCTATGTAACAGCTGATGCTGGTCAGGAAATAGATGCTCTTTCAGTAACAAAACACAGGAAGTATTTTCTGTCATGTCTTTATACTGAAAACAGCATCCTTCTGGAAGAAATAACATGGAAATGATATGATGGTAGAGCAAAGTGCAATTTTGGTGTGCCTGCTGAGTGCATTATAACTTGGTGGTGTCCTTTTCATGCTCCCCTTGCCTGCAGTGCTCCCTTATAGGCACCATCTGCCTGCCCCAGTAGGTTCTGGTCATACTGGAAGCACACCTAGGGCATTTTTGCTGCAGTTTCTTGAAAAATGTGGCTGCTTCATTCAAATAAACTCTTTTCACAACTGGTTTGCTGTAAAAATGAAGTGTTCCCACCTAGAAAGGGGCTTAATGCTGCTGCCTTTTAGAATTAAGGAAAAGAGGAGGAAAGAAGCTAGTGATAACCATCTTGGTCACAGGATCACTTTCAATATCTAAACAGTTCCTTACCATTTCCCACATTTTAAATAGATACTAGATAGTGGAGCTTCCACATGGGCTTTCCTTGGCCCTGCCTTTGGAAAAGACTTCCCAGCACCTGGCAGTCTCTTTTCTTCAACCATGAAAGCTGCCTCCTGTCTCCGCAGGCGGGGGAAATGCTCTCCTTCTGCATACATTGAAATCAGCCAGGCTCTCTCCCAGGCTTCTTGCAGGCTTTGTGTGCAATACACTCTTCTGCTTTATCCCTACAGCAAATGAAAGGGCTTTGGTAAGTTTTTCTGTTTGCAAATACCCATGGAGCTGCTGTTTTTCTTTGTGCATTGACAGTGAGTAATGATCACTGCACAGCTCTGGGATCTGGATCATAGATTTGGCTGTGGTTTCTGGGTTTGTCACTAACCAGCAGTATGGCTTAGGGGTTTTCTTCAGGACAAGAAATGTTTTTGCTGGGAGCAGCCTGAGAATCTCAGTGGGGCATCTAGATGACAAGATGCTGTGTATTTCTGTCTCAAGAATTAAGTATGAATGAGCACTTTGAATAGTCATACCTTTGACTTTCACCACTGTGTTGAGGGACAGGGTTTAGAAAAACTATTGATAATAGGTGAACAGTTGGACTGGATGATCTTGAAGGTCTTTTCCAACCTTGGTGATTCTGTGGTTCTGTAGTTCTGTGGTTAAATGAGGAAAATACTGTCCATTTCACAGGGCAAGCACATACTCCAAGATAGTACAGTAACCCCAGTAACTACAAACAGCAATGTTAATATTTCATTGTATGTAAGGTCTTCATTGAGGTATTTCTGAAAGACTGTTAAAGGTTTTATTCTCCATCCAAACTATGACAGAGCTCTTAAGGGGTCTCTGCAAATTGACCACTACTCCAACAAAGGCAACTTCATCCATAAGTGTCTGAAGCAACCTCAGGAGAGGCAGAAGCTGTCCTAGAAAAAAAAAAGTGAGACATGGAAAGACAGGAAGGAGCTGCTGTGTTCATTTCTTCAAAATGGTGAAAAAAAAGGAAAATTGAGTAAATATAGGTCAGTTAGTTAAATATCAATTCCTGGAAAAATCATGTAATAGTTAATCCATTTTTATTCAGATTCTTTTCAGAAGTAAATAAGGAGATTTCTCAAGGAGGAAAAGTGTCAGACCAACCTACTTTTCTTTGATGATGAGATAACGTCATGTAGATAGGAAGAAGCAGCAGATGCTATAGCTTGACTTAAGTAAGGCTCTTGGCACCACCTCAGCATTCATCTAGTGGCTGAGAGTTATGTGGCACTGATTGAGCTTCTACAGGGCATGACAAAACTGGTAGATGGCCTTGTTCAGAGATAATTGCACATGACTCACTCTTTAAGTGGAAGGATGTAGAAAATTAGGTCTTTTTTAGTCTTCAACTTGGAATGTAGCATCATTCCCTATTTTCATTAGCATGGATAATAGTGTGCTATTAAATTAGTAACTCATATAGCACTGAGAATCATCGAATCACAGAATGGTTTGGGTTGGAAAGGACCTTAAAGCCCATCCAGTTCCAGTGGCCTGCCATGTGCAGGTTGCCACCCATAGATTGGGCTGCTCCATCCAACCTGGCCTTGAGCACCTTCAGGGATGGGACAAGTACAGTGTAGGGCAGGATTAGATTCAAAACAAGCTTGGAGTAGTTGCCCCTAGAAAAGACCATTTCCACATGGGTACGTTGAAGGCATTTTGGAAGAAGTAGTCAGTGCCACATAGAGCAGATGGGAACATCCTCAGGGAGGATCAGCTGGGCTTGTAGCAGCACAACAGAGCCATGCTGTCAGGAAGAGCACTCGCCCTGCAGACACCCAGGTGTGCAAACTGGAGCTAGATGTGAAGTAACCTGCTGCCTTTCCCAGTGCTGACAATTCTCTGAAGAATTTCTGTGCTCCCTTCTGGGGCTGTGCATCAAGGGCAATGCAGTGACAAGAGGTTCAGAGAAAGATAAGCATAAGCTATAAAGCATGGCGGAAGAAATTGAAGTTAGTTAGTCTAGAGAAGAAAAACTTGAGAAAGGAGTTGATATCTGCCCTCAAAATTATTAAGGGGCCGTCTATCCTATCTATAGATAGACTTATGCTGTCTGTAATGGATACAGCAAGAAATAACAGAAATAAACACTATTCAGACTAGGGAGGGATACCACAGGTCACTGCTAGGACAGAGGCATGTGCTGGATGGCCTCTTCCCAGCCAGCTCTCCTGGCTTTCTGCGCTGTGACTGCAAGCATTATTTGCAAACAGCAGTTTATTTAATTCCTCCCAGCAGCAGACTGCCCTGCTCCTTTTGCTGATTAACTTTGTCTGCCCTTTTGGAACGAAGTGATCAGACAGGGAGAGCTCAAGGCACCCAGGCGGCTGTGCTTCTCTGCCAGCAAACTGGGATCCTGTGAGTCAGCAGCCAGGGAAACGGGGTCTCTGTGCTCAATATAATGTCATTCTGAGCAGCCTCTGTGGGTCCCCACTGCCATTCGTCCATGAGAACGTCATTCCTCATGTATGAAGAAGCATGCTCTTGAAACATATTTCTAGTTCTTGTCACACTAATAGGTGTTATGGAGCTGCCAGTTTCTGCCTGTGCTGATTCGTGTGGCAGCCCATGTCCCTAACAG